GGTCCCTATGGTTCAAAATTTAAAATGAGCTTTTTATTTCGATTTCTCTACAGGGAGCGCAAATAAACTGTGATATATTTAATAAATAAATATTTTCCATAGCCATTTTTTTGTACTGTTTTTTTTAAGATACTTATATCGCTATTTTGTAGAAACCTACAAAGTTGCTCAATCCTATATTACAGACATCTGTATTACATATTATACATCCTCTGTAGGAAAAATCACTGTACATTTTTATAAATTCTGAAAAAAATATTTCTTTGATAACAAAATCAGTATTTACCATTTTCCAGGCCCCGAGAACTAACTCACCTGTTTAACATTGTTCCTGGATTGATGAAGCACAATATCGATAAATTTCGCTAATCCTTAATCCCCATATATTATCCCTGGATATTGGAAACATAAGCTCATTCTCATAATCAATTAAGTGGAGCCAAAGAAACGCGGAGCATAATGAGGTAAAGGATTTAATTTAACGTTTGTTTATAATCCTATTGGCGCAATATTTTGGATTTAATTAAGTGGATTCATTACCTCCGCTAAATTCCCTCTATCCCAAAGTTTGCTTTGATTTATTTCGGCAATTAATTTCGCTCGCAAAAAATTCGCGTTGGTAGCGAACATTTTTTAAATATTCGACCCTAAGTTTGGATAATAATTATGAAACATCAGTATTAGGTATTTCGAGCAAAATATTAATTTGGTTCCAGATAAAAATCGGTGAGTAATGGAGCAGATTACAGCAAAAAAAGTGGCTGGTTGTGTGATTGCCAACCATTTATTAAAAAGAAAATTTGTACCGTTCGTGTTTGTTCTATGGCAGTTCTTCAATGAGTTGCGTCGTTTCTTCTTTGCAAAAAAACTTTCTAGTTTCTGCCTAAATGAACCTGTGACTTTTAGTCATAGACTGTGAATTCTACAAAAGGCCCAAAAATTTTCAGCTAAAAATAGTCAGTAAAAAAAAGATTGTCTACGCAGTCAATTATAATCAATATTACAAAACATTACCGTTGTCAAATTTTGAACAATAAACAATTACTTTTTTTAATTCGAAAGCGTACAACTCGGAAAAAAGTTTATATAAATTTCTGTGCTTATTTTTATGCGAACAATATTCCTTTAAAGGTTCTGTATTTCCTTATAACACTGTATATTAGATGATACAATCCATTAAAATTCTGTTTACTCCGGTATTTGTTGTTTTATAATGTCGTGATATTTTACATCGGTTTTAAAAGCAAATCAAACGCTATTCTTGTATCAGCTCAAGGGGTCTTAGGGGCTTGACGTTGCGACTTTGTTTGTTGAATTATGATTACGTTTAAGCATACCCTTAAGACGGAACAGCTGGAATTTTCTCAGGAACCTGTCTAAAGCCTATACCCTTCCCTCCCTTCATATCTCCCTTCTCTATATTTTGTTTGAATATAAATATAGGTATTTTATGTCATCAAATATTTAATTTGAAGTCTAGAAGTATGAATATTGCGACAAATGAATAAAGTCAGTTTTCACAAAATTGTCCATTTTTACTTCAGTATCATTCGGATATAAATCCATTTAAAATACTGAAAATCAATCTAACTCGACATTTTTACAATGAATTCTTATATTTCATTGCTAGTTTTTACCAGTCAGAGCAAAATTACTTCATAACATTGTAATAGTGCAATCATCCATAATTACACTAGTGATTTGCAAAAATTTACCCAAGCAGTGATCGCGGAATCAACTTGGGGGTGCTCTTTTGGCGTTTATAAAACGCAGAGAAATGTCTCAAAGCGATTTAACCATCCCAAACTTACTATCGAAGGTTACCTTGACCAAGGCTTGACTGTTAAACGATTGCGTCATCCATTTATTGAGTATTCAAAGGTTTTTTATGAAAAGAATTAAATGTTACTGCCCGGTGGTACTAACCCTAATACCAAAAGTGGTACAACATCAAGAGTTTATAGTGTCAAATTAACAATATAAACTTAGTCAAGATAAACAGCTAGCAGGGAATGATCGGTTGTATATGTTTCTTAAGGGGAATAGGGACCTTCTAATGAGAAAAGTACAATGAACCTTCTTTGTATGAAGTGCTATCGTTTTACGATACACCATCTTGCCGAAAAGAGAGAGACAAGCGTATTCAAAACATCACCATTGCATCTTGTAACGCTATTGGAAACTTTATCCCACCTTTGGTTGCGATTAACAAACATTTAAGGCTTGAATTTATTGACAATTTCCCTCAAGGATCCGTTGTTAGAATGGCACCAAAAGGAATTATAACAACAGATATATCGTTGATTTCTTATAGCATTATATTAAGTGCAAAGGAAGTGCTCTGATTCTGCTCGTCTTTAAAGAAGTTTCATCACTGGCACTGGAATAACTATCTTTTGTTTACAGTAAAACACAACGCACGAGGTACAGTCTTCAGATTAATCCGCATTTCGCTCATTTGAAGAGCTATGGGATCAAGAATTATTTAAATACTGGGATAACTACCCCAAAGAAGCCTTAACAATGCAAGGTTTGACATGATTTTGTCCAGTTTGGTCAAAATGTATGACGTCAGAAAATAATATCAATAGTTTGAGACTGACAGGATCTTATCCTCTAAATTCTGAATCCGATAAACAGTAGCCTCTCGAAGAAAAGCTCATAGTTGCAAAGATCAGCAGTTACAAAAGACCTTTGTGGCAACGGAAATAAAGTTCCAACAGTTTCTTCACCAGAACCAGATCTACTTCGTCTTCCAAGTAACTTGGGTCATTGTTTTATGTTGTCTGTCCAAAGAATGAACAACCTAATAATATCACGAAGTTGCATCTGTCTTGATCCTGATGACACTGATTACCCTGAGCGTTGCTAATTCCCTTTCAAATGTATGCACTTGAAAAAGTTCCTAAATTAAAGTTATGTTTTTCCTTTACTTTTTGTTAATCTCAAACTTTTAAGTAATTTTTTTTGGATTTGTGAACTTTTACGTACTATCCAAATAATGTGTTTTACCCTGGTCTTCCAAAATAGCATTCCAACAGTTCATTTATTAAAGCAAATGCCCTGTATGGTGTATGAAGCTGAAGTTTCGTCATTGGCAAATAGAAATACGCACAATGCAATTGTAGGCTGTAGCGCAGTCAAAATGAATCATGTATTAATACACTTATTGTATATCACGTTTACGTTGTAAGTTTCATACGAAATTCATCCGAGGAACATAATAAATACTACCCTACAAGACCGGCACCGACATTTATCGAACCCCATATACAAAAAATATCCTCCTCCGAAGATAACCTAACAAAAGTATTATATCCGGCGAAGGCAGCCGCTTCTTTCACCGGACGAGAATAGGCCCTTAAATTTAGTGTATTACCTGATAAACACAAGAACACGCGAGCCCTCCGGTATTTCGCGAGGCGCACTTTGACCTCGTCCTGAGAATTTCTTATGAGACGTAAAACTCGGGGGGATTGGGTTCAATCGGGCCGACCACATGCGTGTGGTTTCCGCTCGCGTATAAAATTCCCAGGTTTACTGGAACGTTTAGCAAAACGTCGATTTTTACTTCGTTAAATACACGTTTCCACAAAGTTGCTCAATCATGGTATCCTCTGGCGTTTATTCCCCGATTAATACTAATAATTGCCGCTACTTATTTTTCATTACAAACTTTTGTTTAAAAATAGCAGGCATGTTCTTAACATAATTTTGTGAATTCTCTGCATAAAAACTGTAATTAATTTCGTATAATGTACCAATAGTATGTTCTATTGTTGCAAGAGTCACCTTCTATCCTTGTTTATTGCGTACAGAAAGAGAAAACCAGCGTTGAACAACCTTAATTATCGATGTATTAGTTTCCAGCTTGGGCGTTTTCTTTAGGGTCATATGCGTGCAAGCGGGGATAACGTATTTTCACATTTTAGTTATCCCAGTGTTTTTAAAATTGATAAATTAAAAATAAATTAAAATTGATAGGTGTGCAGTGACCAACCTGTTAATAATAAAGGTAGCAGCAAACTAGCGAATTTAGCAGATCCAGAACGTCGTATGATAAAAAATGTTATTTAGGAGTGATGCCGTAGCATTGAGCAGTTCTTTAACAAAACATATCGAAAGGAACGAAAAATATGGCGAATAGAGTATTTAGAAAAAAAATTGTAATATCGAAAATTAATTGCCTCGACGGAATGGATACATGAAGAACATACATTCTAGGCTTTTCTTTTAAATACACCCCTGAGAAAGAACAGCGATGCATATATCTAAAGCGAATGCAAGATTTTTTGATTTATAAGACAAATGTTATGTGATTATCATTAAAATTCCTGACAGCAAGACACGTACACAGAGATATTTTACCTATTTGAGTGAGCGAGTCAGCTGATAGTATTACCAACATTAGCATACATACAGAATGATTTTGTTTCAAATAGACATCAAATATTGAATAATTATTTGGATGCATTTTTGCCATTATTTTTAAACTTATAGTTTGTGAGTAGTGGCAGCTGTCTCCTAAAATATTTAAGGCCCATTCGTTTTCGTTTTCCCAGCGACTGACAAAAACACACATCACGAATTCCATTCGATTTGTCTGCATTATATTTTTAAATGAATAACATTTCTGTTGGAGAGGTTTTTAAATGAAACATTTATTTCGATTTATCTGTCCTCCTACAACAATAATCCATTACAAACGTGTTTTCCACGATCACGTCATAGTTTTAGGTTTTCCCTTGAATTATTTCGAGCACGAAAGAATTAAAGTTCAATTTTGGAATAATATGATTAATATTTTTTCATGTACCATTATTTCATATCTACTGTTGCTTGCGAATTATTCCTATTCATAGAATTGTTCAATATTTTTCAGTAATATCTAGTAAACAGGATCATTCGTCAGTCGAACCCACCAGACGTATACCGGTTTCGCACTTATTAGTCCTCAACTAAGTTATTCATAACAGTTTTTAAATTATTGGGAAACTTACCTCGTTCGAGTACTGAACGGTTTGAAGGGGTATCCAATGGTATCCCAAGGCCCTGTCCCATATCATACCCTTGCTCCAGACCTCTATCAGCAACCCAGTATTTAGATCGTTTGTTTCGCTGAAAATGCACCACAATTATCATCGATGAATCTGAGTTTCATACAAAAGAAAATACATATAACTTTGCGTTAGTATATCTCTTTCAGATGTAGGTATTACAAAAACGGACAATCGAGCATGAAATTTGGAAAACTTTCAAAAATAATTCCTTATATACTAATAGTAGTTCATTCTTTGGAATTATAACAAAAAACTTAAATATGCACTTAGGTGGTTAGCATAGTATTAGCAGCATCTTTTTAGCTTCAGGAAGGGAAAGCGATATTTCTGAGGTTAAAGGCAAAACGGAGAATGATACTTACAAAAGAAAGTCTTGTTCCCAGCATGGTGTCGCTCCTTTTACAGTCACAGTTGTGGATTTGACGTTCTGTAGTTTGAGAGTTACGTAAGTGTTAAACTGAGATGCTGAAACAAAAAAAATATATTACTAGAAACTAAAAAAAACTTGAAACTACTAGTTTGATGTATGGGGTTTAAATACCATGACAGTTCTCCACATTAGAAGTTTCTAGTTAAGAGTGGCAGTTCAGGAGATTCTGTAGATGCAGCGTAACCTTCGTGGAGCCTATTTAATGCGGATATTTTGTTAGGGTACATCTGTGTTGGTACAACAGGGTACAACTTAACAATTTGGTTATTTTAATTAAAGGGAGAAGGTCAATTAGGCCGGTTTTCAGCTCTCTTCATTTTTGCCCAAAAAAAGAACACATTTTTTTATTATTTATATCCAAGTAACTAATCGATTCCACCTCAAACGGGACCTCCCCACTCCTTCCTACTCAGGATCAAGGTCAATTAGAGGTCATTTTGAAAAAAGTGCATTAAATCAAAGGATACTGGAGTTTAGGTTTTTGGGGAGGGCCATTTATATGTTTTAATAAAGATTCAAGGTTATTCCAAGGTTGATTTGCGAAAAAGGACTTCTGGTAGGGACAGTGAGAGGTTATTTCAGACCCCTCTGTTTTCGATCGAAGCTAAAATTGTTGATGAAAAATAGGTTTTTAAAATCATTCGAGTTCAAACAGAACTACGCAAGGTTAAGGCAAGTTCATCTGAAGGAGCAAATGAGCAGATCTTTTATCTCGAAAACTACTTATTTGACATCAAAATGACCTGTACAAAGGTTGTGGGATTTCGCATGGGTTTCACATCAATGATCTCTTGACCTAAAACGTATTAAGAATTTTTATGTAGGAATATGGGTGCTTATTGGGTAAGACGGGTATTGTCATGGCTAGGCATGAGGGTATATTGGTTTATACGAAGTAATATGCGTGTATATTGAAAGGTGCATGTATTGATAAAATGTTTATGGGGCAGAGTGGGTTAGTGTGAGAGAATACAGTGTTTTATGGAGGAATATGGGTGATTCGAGGTAATCCTACCAGAAGACGTATTTTTTCTCAAATCAACCTTGGAATGGCCTTAAACCTAATACATATAAACAGACCTTGGATTCAAACTCGGAGACTTCAAACACGGTAATCGATTTCTCGTTTTTTTCTTGGTTTGACCTTTAAATGACATTGAAATAACCCTCAAATGACCTGATGCAGACAAACTGACCTCTGATTCGAACTTAGCTATCCCAACAACCTATATGACAGGCGGTTTGACTTAATTGCTCGGTTTTTGAAGTTTGACCTTGAAATGACCTTGAGACGACCTTTAAATGACCTGGTACAGACCAACTAACCCCTAATTCTAACCCAGCTATCCTAAAATCCTTTATAACAGGTGGTTGGACTTGATTTCTCGTTTTTTTCTCAATTTGACCTTGAAATGACCTTGAAACAACCTTAGAATGACCTGATACAGACAATACAGACAAACTAACCTTAGATTCGAACTCAGCGACCCAGAAAACCTAAGCTCTGAGATCCTTTGACTTATTGCACTTTTTCTTAATCTGACCTTAATTGACCTTGATCCTGACTAGGAAGGAGGAGGAAGGTCCCGTTTGGGGTGAAATCGATTAGTTATTGGATATAAATAGTAATTTTTTTTCTTTCTTTTTGCTAAAAATTAAGGGGAGCGAAAACCGGCCTAATTGAGGAGGCCCCTTTACATTTATCTTAATGATTCTACGATACTATAAAGTTCGTAATAACGTTCCTGTGTTACAGTTTCGAAAGTGACAAATTTTTCCAGTGGCGTGCCATAATTTTTGAGGAAAATATATCTCCGCATGCCTGGTTTGAGTTTCTTGTTGATTGCCATTTTATTCGTGTTTAGCGTAGACACAATTTCGTTTCCAGGAAACAAGAGTTCCAGGGGCACGTATTTTTATAAGAAAATAATCTTAAATTTGAACAGGGATAAGCCCTTCCATTTTTTACAAGCCTTTGTGCCCCATCCAGTATTCCGGGAGCGTTGCAGGATAAAGAAGGCCACGGAGGCGGCAATTATCAAAATTTATGGGGCAGAAGCGCCGGCAAAGTAAGAGTAATTAGTACCCCGATTGGTATCTATAAAAGTACGTTGTCCGTGAGCGCGACGCGCTTAATGGATCAGTTACGTTTACATGTGTGACGCCGCAGCCACGGGAATGCCGTGTAGTGTCACCAATTAATCTGGCAGGATTGAGGATCAGCGACGTGTGAGTAACAGGACCACGGCTCACCCTCGGGAACAGACACCCGGTGATTTGCTAGCCCATAGACCGCTATTCGAATCCGGTCAATGATTTAGGTCCGTTCTGTTTACTTTGCGAATTCGTGATTTGGACAATAATGGTGTCAGAGTTCGATATTTCCGAGAAAAAAATTATTGAAGTTGTAGTATATTCAACCTTTACCTATATCGCTCGGCTACTATAATCTCTAGCGTCATTTGCGTCGTGTGTTGAGCGATTCTGAATACCGAAATCCGTTAGTATTATCGTTGTTGCGAGAGTGTTTACATTAGTTTTTCAAGTGTTAAAAATGGCTTTCGTGTACTCGGAGTTGATGGATATCGTTTCAATTTATGGTGAAGCAAGACAAAATGCTGTAGCAGCTTCTAGTCTGTACGCAGAACGATTTCCTGGTAGACATATGCCAAATGCAGCTACTTTCACCGCGGTAGTGCAACCTGTCTCAGTTAAAATTCAATTTTCAATGGATTCTTTGAAACTTTCTTAACGGTAAGTTATCAACTACGAGAGACTGAAAATAAAAAAGTCACTTTTGGTATAGGTAACCGAAAATCCTCCACATACCTTTGTAATACAACCCCTGGAAAGAAGACTTCTCCATATACAATAGCAATAAATCAAATAATTTCGAAGATGTTTTTTAACAAATGAAGGAAATGTTTAAAATCAATTTCCCGTTAAACTGGACGTACCATTATCTGTTAAGAGGTAGTTGATAAAGCAGACTTTCAAAAATAAAACATAAAGCATAAACCAATGTAAAAATGAAAAAGAAAACGGATAAGAAATGGGAATAATTGTTACAAAATTCTAAAAACGATACTCTTAGATTATGCACGTAACAATAACAATAGGTTGTAGGAAGTCAAGTTGAAAAGCTAGCCCATAACTCATATTTACTGTCAATTGCACGAATGATGTTATTACAGTTTAAACACAAGACTGCATCAAACGGCAAATTAATCAACCCCTTTTCAGTTTCCAGTGGATGGTATATTAATCTACATTTAGCCATTAGCAGTGCTCTCAAAATTAGATTAGCCTGTCAAAATTTGAACGTATTGTGTGACTAATATGCTTAGAGTTATATTTTTATTAACAAACTGAACGTTGAAAATTATGTCAATGATAGCAGATCGTTAACAATACCAAATAGGACATAGTTTAAATAAAATCTATGCAATATGTTAATTGCCATAAAAAATCGTCTGCTCAAAATAAGCGTACGAGTAAAGGATATTTGTTGGATCTACTTTCTGTGTTTCAGTAAGAATAATGTTATGACTGGCAATCGGCATTGAACTAAGTAAATGGAAATTTCAAGGACACACACCTGATGAGCGCTTCCACGACCTACACCAATATCGGCTGACTGTTTTATAGAGCAATGAATTCACAGTCGTAACAATACACCAAAATAGAATCAACGAGTTTAGGCAGACCTCTTATATTACAGCTGGTGTCTTAAGTTGGAGACTCACGTACCTTTGCCTTGCTTGATTCTAATGAACCAGCCTATATACAGGGTGTCCGGAAATGATGAGCGAAAAAATCAGGGGATAATTCTAGACCGAAAATAAATGCTACCTCTTTCTATAACATTTTTTCCAAAACTGATTATTAACGGAGTTACAGGTTGTTAAAGTTAAATTTGATTTGCAGTTTTTTTGCAATACCTTTTGCCACACTCATAATATTTTGACGAAATTTCGTATATGGGGTTTTTTCGGGATGAGGATTATAAATTTGCCCACCGTTTTTTCGCATTTTGTAGAGGGCGCCACATACGAGCCTTTATTTTGATTTGAATGGTTCCAACTTTTTTGTGCTACACTTTATGCGACTTTTGACTGAATATACCTTATGACCTTTACCTTTGATATACCTTTTGACATAAAAAAGGTATACTTTATTTGTTTCGATAAATCTAACCGTTTTCGAGAAAAACGCTAAAATAACATT